GATATAGATAATATAAAATAGAACAAGTAGTAAAAAAGAGTCAATCCAAATGGATTATATATATATATATATATATATATATATATATATATATATATATATATGTACATTGGAAGTTGGTTGTAAACTGATTCGATACAAACCATATATAGGAATAAAAACGAGTTTAACAACCATTCTAGGATGATTTATGCAATGTTTAAGACTCGAAAACACTTTTAATGATTATTAAGTGATTTACGATGAATGAGAAGAGTCCAGGAAACAAAATAAAGAATTTATAATATTTTGGAAAAGTTCAAAAAGGCATAAGAAACTACTTTGGAGCCTAAAAAGTACGATTTCCTGATGTTTAAATTAAAAGTGTAATATGTCAACGGATAACCATTTTAATTTTGAAAACAACGAAAACAAATTGGGTCAAACAGATGTCATATAAGGAAGATACGAAGGTTTAAAGTTGCAAGAAAATCATAATCGAACAAAGAGAAAAGTCCAGATTATTACACGATTGAGTCAAGTGGCCAAGTCAGTAGCGCATGGCTGACCCCAGTCACTAAATCGGCATGTGTGAGAGTGGGGGAAGGACATTTGACACCAAATTTTGACACCATGTAGCTAAGACTCTCCTCTACGTTTGGATATGTGGACGAACCAATTAGAATCTGATTGACCACCAAGTCAATTCGATTACTAATCAAGTTTTCATTAATTCATCTAAAATTTTCTCCAAATCTTATGTTTATAGGTTTTCAATGTCATAGTGTGTAGATGATCTTCAAGCATAAATCAAGGAGCCTTTGCAACTAATTGAAGAAAATTATACTCTTTCTTTGTATAATTTTTTAATTCAAATTATGAAATTGGTCATAGATAATCATTTATTGATCGTGTATAGTCTATCATTAAATTAATTAGCGATTAATTAAATAGATATCATGAATTTATAAATGATATAAGTACTTGATGCATAACATGAAAAGTACAAATTTTGTAGTTTGTTAATATGGAATAATTAATATGTCATAGTATAGATTAACAATCTAATTAAATATTGGTATTGAGTTTGAAGTTGGTATTAGAAATGTTGTATAACGTAAAACGTTATAATCCATGACATTATTAATTGAGTATTATAAAAAGGGTTATGTTTATAAAACAATACAAGAATGGTAAGGCTAACTTTACGAGTTATTGAACTAGTTGTCAAGTTGTACAATTGGTACATATTATGATAATAGAACATGCCTTAGACATGGGTAGGATGTGGTGAGGGTTGGTATGGGTAAGAGTGTCGTGGGTCTGGGCTTGGTTGTGAGGTTATGGTTAGGGGTGGTTAGGTGGGTTTGGGAAGGATGGTTATTTAAGAGAGATGATAATAATTTGTTGTAATTTAATGAAATATAACTAAAATAAAGAGGATGTAAGAATACATTTTTAGTCTTTTTAATAAATATATCACATCAAAAAGAAACTTTGCTCTTAGCCCAAAAAAATGATAATTCAAATTTAATGGATTTTAAAGAATTCAAACTTCATTGATTTTGTAAACCAAATGCATTTTTTAAAATTCACACTCTTAATCCTCCAAATTACTTTGAAATTTGTGAACCAAACATGTTGTGAGAGAACAAGGATGGACATAGGATTTCATAGTAAGGGTGGCACGAAAAATTTAAGTAATGGCACGATAATAGAAAAAAAAATATCAAAAATTTATGCACTGCATACACGGAAGTCAAAGGTTGCCGGTGCTACTATGTAACACCGTATAGAACCGCCCCTGTTAGAGAAGGTGGAACAACAATCTGGACGATCTTGTTTGATTTGGTGTTTGTATTATAGAATTATTCTAATATTGTTATGGAGTTTTTTTAGAACGACGAGTTACTCGTTAATATTGTTATGGATTTAGTTTTTCCAAATTTGTTTGATCTACAATAATAGTTATACACTTGGTTTTTCTAAATTTGTCTGTGCTAGAATATTAGTAATTTGGTACTTGATGCTATGTTTAGCTTTTCAATATTTCCTTGTTCATTGTTTAATTTTTTCCATGTCAAGTTTTTCCAGTTTTTTCAAATTCTGATTTCGGGGATAGCATACCCCGCCCCATTATCATTCCTAATTTCGTTTTATATTTTTAACCCGTTATAAAATAAAATTAAAAAAAAATACAACTCCAATTAACCCATTTACACATCAATTAATTGATATTACTGCCTTTAAATTATGAACTATTACAATTCTTAGAACCATCTTCCATGTTACAAAAGTAATGTCGTTTAAAATAAGTTTAAACAATCCTAAACTTTACATAAATGTGATATAGGCAAGGATCAGACCCTCTCAATATATCTATAAATTGAGAGTTATGTTTTGTAGAAAAGGATCATCGCAATAACGAGTGCAACAAAAACACTCTCTATCTTGTAAATTTTCAGTTCAATGTCTTGTGAGTAAAAATCTCCCTTAGAAGGGAGAGATGTAAAATATTATAGGAGTACTCCCATTTCGGGAGCTCTTTTATCAATAAATCTTTGTTTTGTTATACTTGAGTGTTCTTACAAAATAGAGTCATGAAACCTGTAAGTGACAGAGTGTCAGGTCGACGATGGTCAACAGTACCACAGGCATGAGGCCAACAGGGAAAGCAACCACACAGACCAATGATTGACACAGGCTGGGCTTGAATAGTTTTCTATCTATGTAAGTAATACTCCTACTACAAAACACTTATTGATTAATGAGTTTTCTCTTTACAATTTTTTGCATCTATTTCCTTCTAAACATACAAAATATAATAAACAAATTCCGCACACCAACACTGGTATCAGAGCCTTGTTAAAAAATGGTACTACATTATAATAAAACACTTTACAGTGAATTATTTGAAGAAATTCGTAATACAGAGAATGAGATTTCTCACATAAAAAGATATACTTTTAAGTAATAAAAAAGATTTAGTGCATATAAATTTCAGAATTCTACAAGCACAAAATAAACATACTCACGAATATATACCAACCATGGTTAATATACGTAAGTACCTCCTTCATAGGCAAAAAATGCATCAAGAACACCTTGATAAAGCTTTAAACTCAGTTTCAGAACTCAGAAAAAGGATTTTAACTTGTTAACATTTCTTAAACATGAATAAGAATTTTCAACAATTCTGAAGAAAATGATAGAAAAGAAAAACAAATCCTAACTTATGTTGAGGATGAAGACGGCTTTCATGCAAACCTCTTAATAAAACAAGATCTTCTCTCTCGGGTCAAGAAAACAGATTTAAAAATAAAGAAAGAAAACATTTTCAAAAATGTTCCTTCTAAACTTAGTATTTTAAATCCGCTTAAAAGGAAAATGAAATTTTCTACTTTGTTAGTACTAAAGAAATGTCTGTAGACATAAAAGACACAATAGGAGCTGTCTTCTACCCCTTTTGACTAAAGAACAAATAACAATAACTTAAAAAGTATTCCAGTTGAGATTAGATCAAAAGTAAGAATGGTCCATATCGGAGCTGTAAAAATTTTGATAAAATCCCAATTCCAAGCAGGAATAAATTCTCCCATAAAAATGGCCTTAATTGACAACAGAATTACTGACAGACAGGACTGCATCTTAGGTGCTGCTAGGGGAAACCTTGCATACCAAAAATTTATGTTTTCAGTCTATCCAAAATTTGCTCTAGATTTGAAATCTGCAAATATAGATAAAACTTTATCTTTTATACATCACTTTGAAAGAAGTGACCTTATGAACCCAGGTGATAAACCATTCACCATAACCTATCTCATAGGATATGCCCTGACCAATAGTCACCATAGCATAGACTACAAGAAAGACGAGTACATCGAACTTGATGATGTCTTTTCAGAAATAGGCCATGTCAAAGATAAACATTCTGCGACATAAATCCTCAAGAAAACTCTTGGGTTTTAAATATAGCTAGAAACAAAAAAGCTCTAGGAGAAACTCTTAGACCAAGAATTTCTATGGATTCACTCCATATAGGAGAAAGCTCAGAAAGAAAAGATAGTAACTTAATAAGAAACATGTCTTTAAAAATTGATAGTCTACGTCAGAATATCAAACAAATCTCTGAGGTAATAAATGAGTAATAAAATAGATTTTCCTCATTTTTATAAAAAAGGTAAAACAGTAAAAATCAAAACCCTTGACGACAATACTGAAAAGAAAGAATACGTTTTCTCTACTTCTGGAAAAGCTGGTATTCAAACAATTGTAAATCATTGCAATAATCTCAACCAGATCATTGCAAGATGTCTCTTAAAAACTTCGAAAATATGCCATTACCTTGGTATTTCAAAAGATATTTCTAAAGATATTTCTAAAAATAAAATACCTTTTAACCAATTAAAAACGATTTAGCCATTTTGGTAAAAATAATCTTGATAAAAATAATTTGAAAAATTCTTCGAAGTTATTGAAAGACAAAATAAACTAACTATCAAGCTAACCCAGTCTATTGACAAACATTCTATTCTTTTAGAAAACTCTTTAAAAACAACCATTTTGTTGAAGAAGTCGCCAAAAAGGCAAATATTGAAGGCACTCTTAAAGAAAACAACCTTAAGATCACTAATATACAAGAGCAGTTAAAACAACTGATAGGATGACCTCGATACCCGAGCTAAATAGATCAATCAACCTCCTTAATGAAAAATAGATGGGCTGATTATAAACTTTGACTTAACGGCCATTAAATACGTAACCACTACACAGTTAGAAGTAGCATCTGCAAAAATTATTGCAGACATTACTAAAGAGTTATCTGAAAAGATTGACTCTTGCCCTTGTAATAAAGACATTCTTGAACACATCAAGAATATTCCCATCATAGAACAAAAAACCAAAACTGGAAAATATTCAGGTCTTAAGAAATACTCACCTCCCAATCCAAGTATTGGAAACCCTGACTTAGGAAGCTCAAAAGACTCCCAGAAGATTGATATTTTCAAAAAAGAGCAAAAATGAAAGAAACAATCTCTGAGAAACTTGAGAAATATTTCTTTAACCTTCAATATGAAGATTATTATGATAAGGCTGACCAAAAACTTATTCAGCTTTTATCTTTAGAAACTGAAGAATGCGAAGAATTGTATCAAAAAGAACCCAAACTTTTTGATCAATATTTTAGAATGACTAAAATAGATGAACCTGATACTGAATCAGAACAAGAAGATAACTTTAAGACTAATACAAAAACTGTAAAGTTCGAATATTCAGATATGGAAGATGATGAAGCAGAATCTTCTTATACAGCCGCTAGAAGAAGCAATAAAAAGAAATATGAGTTCAAAATGCCTGTCCACAATGGTATTCCAAATAGTGGTCAAGGATCCAATACGATCAATGTACTCAATATTGATTGTATCCAAGATCTAAAACTCAGAGAAAGAGTTGTAGAAAAATGGGTTACTGAGATTTCACTAATCTTACAGACAAACCCAGATGAATTTGAAAAAGCAAAAAATGTTCTACTACTTTTAGAACACAAAACTGATGGAATTGTGCAAAAATTCCTAAGAAACAATAATTGGAATGAAGAAATGCATGGTTCAGATCTTTTTGATAATATCATAAATGTCATATACACTACTTTCTTAGGTCTTGATTATATTTTTTAATAAAGACTTCACCATTAATAAGAAAGTTGACATAGCAAGAGTTTCAATGACAAAAAAACTCCAATTACATGATATTAGTCTTCTCGACAAATACACATGTATGTATGAATCATATCTGTATGATATTCCACAAAGAAGTGAATATGCGCAATGGATATCTGCTTACCTCATGAAAATTCCAATTATTGGAGAAACCTGTACAGACAGATGGAAAAAAGAAGTTACTGGAGAAAATCCAGCAAACCAGTCTTTCTTATGCAACAAAAATTGCAAAAGAAGAAATTGATAGAATCTGTCAAGACAGATATAAACAACAAAAACTTAAAACAATAAGCAAAGATTGTTGTAGCATTCTCTCTGATTTCAAAAACTTTGATATTGGAAAGAAAAATTATAATAAGAAAAAGTATAAAAACAAAAAGAAATTCAAATCTTTTTGGAAAAAGAAAAGAAGAAAATTTTCACCAGGAAAATACTTCAAAAAACCTTCAAAAGAAACACCTAAGAAGAATACTTCCTGTCCGCAAGGAAAGAAAAAATGTAGGTGTTGGATCTGCAATGAAGAAGGACACTACGCCAATGAATGTCCAAATAGAAAAAAATACCCAGACAAAGTCAAGGTTTTACAAACCGCTAACAATGGGGGATTTGAAGCTCTTGAAGAAGAGTATGATGGTACACAACATGTTTTTATATATCATGTTGAGACAGAATCTTCATCAGACACTGATGAATACGAATCAACAACGGGTTTTTTTTGTAGACTTAAAAAGTGTTAAAAGAAATATGAGTTCTGAAAGCCTTGTAATTAAACATACAAAATTCGTTATATTTTGTATGTAGACTATCAATAACTTAAAAAGTATTCCAGTTGAGATTAGATCAAAAGTAAGAATGGTCCATATCGGAGCTGTAAAAATTTTGATAAAATCCCAATTCCAAGCAGGAATAAATTCTCCCATAAAAATGGCCTTAATTGACAACAGAATTACTGACAGACAGGACTGCATCTTAGGTGCTGCTAGGGGAAACCTTGCATACCAAAAATTTATGTTTTCAGTCTATCCAAAATTTGCTCTAGATTTGAAATCTGCAAATATAGATAAAACTTTTCTTTTTTATACAACTTTGAAAGAAAGTGACCTTATGAACCCAGGTGATAAACCATTCACCATAACCTATCTCATAGGATATGCCCTGACCAATAGTCACCATAGCATAGACTACAAGAAAGACGAGTACATCGAACTTGATGATGTCTTTTCAGAAATAGGCCATGTCAAAGATAAACAATTCTGCGACATAAATCCTCAAGAAAACTCTTGGGTTTTAAATATAGCTAGAAACAAAAAAGCTCTAGGAGAAACTCTTAGACCATTTATTCAATAACTTACATAGTCTAATAAAAGCTTGTATGTTTAGAAGGAAATAAGTTACATAGTCTAATAAAAGCTTGTATGTAAACCACTAAAGAATATTCAGGTCTTAAGAAATACTCACCTCCCAATCCAAGTATTGGAAACCCTGACTTAGGAAGCTCAAAAGACTCCCAGAAGATTGATATTTTCAAAAAAGAGCAAAAATGAAAGAAACAATCTCTGAGAAACTTGAGAAATATTTCTTTAACCTTCAATATGAAGATTATGATAAGGCTGACCAAAAACTTATTCAGCTTTTATCTTTAGAAACTGAAGAATGCGAAGAATTGTATCAAAAAGAACCCAAACTTTTTGATCAATATTTTAGAATGACTAAAATAGATGAACCTGATACTGAATCAGAACAAGAAGATAACTTTAAGACTAATACAAAAACTGTAAAGTTCGAATATTCAGATATTAATCTCGAACTTTCAGGAGAACATTTCAACGTTCCCACTATTTACAACAAAATCAGGAATTGATATCATAATTGGAAACAACTTCTGTCAAGTTTATGGACCATTCATACAATGGATAGATAGAATCGCCTTCATCTTAATAATGATATGGTAATTATAAAAAAGGTTACAGAAGCCTATAGCAAAGGAAAACCAGGTTTCTTGAAACTCAAGAAAAAGGTTCTAAAGAAAAACAAATTCCAGGTACTATATAAACCCATGAAGGATTATAAAGAAAAGATTATTTCTATTCAAACTACCAGGTTCAAACAGATTAAGATCTTCTTGAAAAGTTTGTTCTGAAAATCCTATTGATCCAAATAAAACCAAAGGATGGATGAAAGCTTCAATTAAGCTTATTAATCCCAAGACGGTTATTAGAGAAAAACCTATGGTTTACTCTTTACAAGATAGAGAAGAATTTTCCAAACAAATCAAGGAATTACTTGATATGAACTAATTATAGAATCAAAATCCCCTCATATTCTCCTGCCTTTCTTGTCAATAAAGAAGCAGAGAAAAGAAGAGGAAGAAGCGCATGGTTGTCAATTACAAAGCAATCAATGATGCAACTATTGGAGACTCACATAATCTTCCCAATATGCACGAACTCTTGACTCTTCTACGAGGAAAAAACATTTATTCAAGCTTCGACTGCAAGTCAGGTTTCTGGCAAGTTCTACTTGATGAAGAATCGCAGCTTCTCACTGCCTTCACATGTCCTGATGGACTCTTTCAATGGAAAGTACTACCCTTTGGGCTTAAACAAGCTCCTAGTATTTTTCAAAGACACATGCAGAACGCTCTTCGAGGCCTTGAAGGTTTCTGCACTGTATACGTTGATGACATCATGATCTTCAGCAAAATGAACAGAACACTATGTTCATGTCACACAGGTTCTCAGAACTATTTTAAAATATGGAATAATACTTTCAAAAAGAAAGCTCATCTTTTCAAAACAAAAATCAATTTTTTGGTTTAGAAATAAATGAAGGTACTCATTGTCCTCAAAGCATATTCTTGAACATTTACATGACTTTCCAAATGTTTTAGAAGACAAAAAACAACTGCAAAGATTTCTTGGTGTTTTAACTTATGCTGAACATATATTGAAAAACTTGCAGCCATGAGAAAACCTTTACAGGTAAAATTAAAAAAAGATGTCATCTGGAATTGGTCAAATGCTGATACAGACTACATCAAAAAGATAAAGAAAGTTTTAATCAATTTTCCAAAACTTATCTTCCAAACATTGAAGACAGTTTAATTATTGAAACTGATGCTTCTGATGAATTTTGGGGAGGTGTTTTAAAAGCTAAAACCCCAAAAACGAAGAAAAATTTGCAGGTACACCTCTGGCAGTTTCAAGCAGCTGAGAAAAACTACCATAGCAATGAAAAAGAATTACTCGCTGTAAAAGAGATTATTACAAATTCTCTGTATATTTAACACCAGTAAATTCCTGGTTCGTACAGATAATAAAATTTTACTTATTTCCTCCGAACGAAGATTGCAGGAGATAAACAAATTAGGCCGGCTAATACGATGGCAAGAGTGGTTCTCACGATATACTTTCGCTGTGAACATCTCGCAGGAACAAAAACGTACTGGCAGACTGCCTCACTCTGACTTCAGGTATGCCTTACATCATCCATGATCTCACTCGCTCCTCTCGAGCCCTATAAAAAGGATATGATCCTCATGACATATTTCCTCACAAAAACTTCACCTACAAAAAGTGAGGAGGAGATTAGAAGAAAAGTAAACAAAAATTGAGTTTACAAAAATGGAAGACCTCAACATTTGAGGATGAAAAAACAAATGCTCCTCATAGAGCTATCTGCAATTGAGCAGAAAATCAACTTGTATGAACAAGTAACAACGGTCACCAATGTACCGGAAAGCGAAAGCTCAAAACAAAGGCTATTCCCGTGCAAACGGCACCTGGTAAAGAATCAACAAATCCGTTGAAAGCTGATGCTTTGCTAAAGCATAATAAAGAACAGCTACTCCTCTTCCTAATGGAAAAACTAGCTTATTGGTTGATCCCAATCCTTGTACTGAAGGAATCAGTAAATGACAACTTGTCACCCACTAACAAATCTGTGCAGGAGTTCACACCAGATTACAAAAAAGCTCTTAACAAAGAAGCTGAAAGATTTTATGTAATCTATAAAGGACCCCATGCCGTGTTCATACTGACTGGGGAATTACAGAAACCTTCTGTAAAGTTGATAAGTTACTTGCAAAAAATTCAGAAATGAAACATCTGCAAGATTAAGCCTTGCCACTTATCAAGACGATACAAGCAAGACTAACCAACCACTTCTTCGACAAAAATTCAAAAAGTCAAAGAAGCCCACAGAGACCAAAGGTTTGACGTTCCAATTGACGTTCAACAAATGGTTAACTATCCTGAAATCTCTTTTGAAGATTTCAGAACAATCTGGAAGAAAGCAAGAGCTGCATGCCCAGAAGACCTTGTTCATGAAAAGTTTTTCACTACGGACAAGAAAACAAAAAGTCTGTTCAACTTTCTCGAAGGAGCAGATGCAAATTAGTCTACCAAGCCTTTCAAGCTGGACTAATCGACAATATCTACCCAAGCTGCAACCTTCAAGAACTCAAATTCTTCCCAAGGCATGGTAGAATCCATTAAGAACTTTCGAAAGAAAGTACTTAAAGCAAAAGATAATCCGATCTACATCAGATGCATCTCTTCACTCCCAGAAGGATTCAAGAATCAACTCTTTCTCCATACCACTTTCTGGAAATTGGTCTTTCTAAAGCCAATAGAGAGATTGAACAATCTCAACCATGGAAGATAAAGATCTACCTTTCACAGAAATTCTTCATCCTACCGCGTCAATGGTTTAAGAAGAATATCAGAAAAAATCATTGAATTTCTCTGGTTCAAAAAGAAGATTAATTATACCGATTCACATTGTATAATTACAAGCTGGAGTTACAACAACACCAGCCAAGAAGATCTTCGTCAAGCCTCCAAGTTTGGAGAAAATTCATGAACAATAGCATGGAAGTATCCAATGCTACACGCCAACACTTCTGCCGACATGCAGAACAACTTTTCGAAGAACATCTTTGTCACTTTGTGATTGCA